TTTTTTTCACTTTTATAATCTCATTTGTTTGGATTTAAGTATTTGGAGTTTTAATGGATTTCAAATTACCTTTAATTTGAATTCCACCATTTTGAGACAGAAAAAATTAGAAATATAGTATCATTGTATGAAAATATAGAACTAATAAAATACAGAAAGAAGAGCATCACTAACAAAATTTTGCCACGATCAAGGGAGCAATTGTGATGCTGGTTGTTTTATGGTTGTGTTGGAAACAGAAAATATTGGGAGTCGGTTTGAACAAAACTAGACGAAACAGCAATTGGGAGCAACGGCCTTTAACACATTACCAGGTTTGATTTCCAATTCGTTGTTTCATTTTCTGCTTCTAAGAACCTGTTTCAATAGTTACAACAAGTCCTTTTCAAATTTCAAAAGAAAAATTATTCTTGTTTATTCTGCTGCAAGTGTGTTCTTTTTTTTTATCACCCAGCTATAACCTGAGCAGAGGGTTAATGAATGTGAGGCCAATCAGCGCAAAAATATGCCTTTTACTTTTTTTCCTTTCATATCGTAACTTAAAATTATACAAATTCAAATACGCCTTTTACTTTATTTTTAAATTTGTTTATTGTAATCAATGCAGCTCGAATATGCTGCTCTCGATGCTGCGGTTCTCCTTCACATATTTCGGCATGTGGGAAAACAGTCCCAATCCACGGCTGCTTCAGACGAACATAATGCAAAGATTGAATGGAAATCACACATAGTATCGACTCTCTCTCTTTCTCTCTAATCTCTCTCTCTAATCTCTCTCTCTCTCTCTCTCTCTTTATATATGTATGTATACGCATACACACATATACACCAACATATTTGATCGGGACGTTATTTGTATACAGATCTCACATATGGACAGCTCAAAACACCAGAAAGGTCACTAAAACTACTGGACAGAGGCCAAAGGGGGCTCAAGAAAGGAAAGCAGCTGATTAGGTTTTCTCTACTCAAAGAAAATAGTTTTGTGTTATTTGAATTTGATACATTTTTAGATAATTACTTTCGAAATTAGAGGCTATTTTGACCTGGGGCTACAAATCATGCAAGAGAGGAAAGAGAAGTGTACAGTTTAGATCTCACTCTGGGAGGTGCCAAGTGCATCCTTTTTGTATATATTGTTTTTTTTCCGGTGGGTCCTTTTTTTTTTTTAAATCATTTTGTGTTTATTTTTTTTATTTATTTTTTTATCTTTACACTTATGGAGGGACGAATATATATTTTACAATTAGATTATCCATTTAAAAATAAGAAATGAGGAAAATTTACACATCTTAGCATGCCGGCTTCTTATCTCACTAGTTAAAAATGCATTCAAGGGGATAAAATTTCCATATATGATAGATTGATTTGGATGAGCCTCCAACAAATGAGTACAGTCAATAATGGATCAAACTAAACTTGTGGGAAATCCTACGGTCATGGTACGGAATCATTCTGTCATGATTTGTAATCGTCGGGGATAGTTGATCCAACGGTCACAAACCCCGACGGAATGGTTCTGTAACTGGACCGTAACATTTCCCATAATTTATATCCAAAACCCGAAATTAGACTTACAAAAAGCCATGTGGGATGGGATTCTGCACCAATTGATTTCAATCAAATGTCTAATGTAAAAGGAAAAACATTTCACCAAGACAAAATTAGGTATAATTTATAGAGTAATGTTATAAGTACATAATATTACAATAGAGATGTACATAACACTCATATTAGTCGAACCTAAAAAAAAAAATCAAGTGAACCTCACTCCATTAAAATGTTATGTACACATCTACGTACATTTATGATGTACTAGTAACATTTTCTTAATTTATATCCTATAGCCCGGAATTACAAAAAGCCTTGTGGGATGGGATTCTGATTCGGTACTCATTGATTTCCATCAAATGTCTAATGTAAAAAAGAATATTCACCAAGACAAAATTACGTATAATTTATAACCACAGTAATGCTAAGGAGCCAACAACTAATTGGATAACTCTATGTGCGGCTGTCCCACATTAAAGTATTGTGGGCCAACCCCACCTGGAGTTGTCTCATTGGTTGTTGGCTCCGTAACGGAGCCAAC